ACCCTAAATCCCAGGCTGCAGGCCCGAAATCCTTAGCACCTGAATTCAATCCAGAGCTTCAGTCCTACAAAATCCAGATCCCAAGCCCCAAGCCGACACAGGCCGACCCTACAGCCTAAACCCCAAGCCCGAACAATCAGACCGTAAGATTTGGGGGCTTAGGGGTTTAGGGTTTAGGGTTTAGGGATTCCTTAGCCCTGATGTTTGAACCCTATAGCTATATGTCTCGAAGCCCAGGCGGAAGTGCGCTGTCAACGTCGTCCGTGAGCTGATCGACGGGATGTTATGCCTGCATAAGGCTTGCGGTGGAAGGTTTAGAACAGTAGTGTAGAGGCGGACAATTTAGGATGACTTGTTTTTAGGCGGGTATGATTCTTTCTGTACATTCCCGAAGCCATATTCTAACCACTACAGCCCCTATATACAAGGGGATTGATCTAGACTGGCTTCGAATGGGTCACACATCAGTAACTGACAGTAGAAACGCATAAATCTAGAACATGGCTAACAAAAAAGTGTGCCGCCAGGGCGCCCCAGCCGAACCCCGAACGAAGTGGGTGAATAGAAGTCAAGATTAGAACAGGGTTTACAGGGTTTCATAGGGTGTTGTATTCATAGGTTTTTGTAGGGTTCGCTAGGGTTGATACGGTCGTTGTTGGGTTTGTAAGGTTCTTTCTCTGGCAGGCTGCATACCCACTATTGTGCCTCCATTGAGGGTACCATGAGGCATCCAATTCTGAGGCCTTACAGCCTTAAGCTGCGCGAGCTATACACGAGAAGCCTGAAGCGTGAATCGCTTAAACTCCCAAGCCCTGTAGCCCGGAACCTTGGACCCCGAACACGAGCTCCAAAGCCAAAAAAACTTAATTGAAAACGCAACCCAAATACAAAAGTTTGAAGAATCAGTATTCATTCCCCTCATATTCCTTATGTCCACATACTTATGCACCCGAAAGCCTCAGTCGAATCATCACGGCCCCCAAATTTAAGCGCGTGCTATCCAAGCCTATAGAAGACCAACTAGACCAGCCAACACCCCATCAAGACCCACTTGAAACCCCGCGAAACCCTCATCAAAATTCTTCAGACACCCACCCAAAGCCCAAAACCCTGAAGCCTAAACCACCATAAAACCTAAACCCTAAGCCCACAACCCTACACCAGAACCCTACGCACACTCAACCCTCTACTCTCCGAGCACGGAAAGTCCGAGACCAAAAAGATCTTTTAAATTGAAGAAAAAACCTTTCCTTTTCATGGAGGAAAGTGCACCTTGATGAAGTTTTGGGGTTTCGGGCTTAGGGTTTGGGGTTTTGAGGTTTAGGGTTTAGGGTTTTACGGTTTTGGGGTTTTAGGGTCTAGGGGATAGTTCTGTACATGGAAACTCGTAGGTACTTCTCAGGGAGCATTCTTTGGTGCAGGTGAAACATCAAGTGACTCATGTCCTGAAGGTATATCCCTCAGTTACTATAAGCTCTAAACCCTAAACCCTAAACCCTATAAGCCCTAAACCCCAAACCCTAAACCCTAAACCCTAAACCCTAAACCCTAAAAGCCCTAAACCCTAAGCCCTAAGTTACACCTCCAAAGATAGAGGGGGCCCCTGGATCTGATTCAAGGTGTCTTTCCGTAAACCCTAAACCATAAACCTCAAGCCCTAAACCTAAACCTAAACCCTTCTTTCCTTGATGAAGGGGCCTCAGAGGCTTGGGGCGGAAGTAATAGACCCTAACTGAATTTAGGGGGTATGTGATATTAGAAGTATAATAATGAGCTCGAAAGAATGATCTTGGTAATCATTTTTTAGGGTTTAGGGTTTAGGGTTTCGGCTTCTACCGTAATCCCTAATCCTCGAAGTCGGGAGGAACGGATCGAGGCTCCGGAACAATAAACCAAAAGACCTGGTAATATAGGAGCTTAAATAATCACCACTACTATTTTGGGCGCTCCGTATTATCATTATAGTATAAAGGGCCCCAAAACCATATTCTAATTATGAAGGCCCCTAAACCCTAAACCCTTTTCGTAGCCATTCTAGAACCCTTTCAGGAGCCGAGTTATTTAGGCGCTTGTATTGAGGGCGGCTACGAGCTTAGCGGTTTCTGCAAGGCACTTTTGATGCATGGGTAGTTCTCTACAATAGGGGTTTTTTCAGGGTCCTTTGTATAGGGGTTAAATGCTATTCTGGGGACCAAAAAGGGACCTTAATGATTTAGAGGACTACCCACACGAGGGGGTTTGCAGGCGTGTACTTCGATGTGTTCGGGTTTGGGGTGTTTTTTTTTCAATTAACGGTGTTTTGCTTTGGGTTTCTTCGACTGTGGATCCTATCCTTTCGAGTTTAACCTGCAGTCCCTTTTTTCATGAAGCTCCCGTTCGGATTAGAGGCAGGAGCCCAAACCCGGAACCAGAAAAGCCCCAAACCTTCAACCCAACAGTGAACACTAAAACCTAAACCCCAAACTTCCTAAACCCTAAACCCTAAACCCTAAACCCTAAACCCTAAACCCTAAACCCTAAACCCTAAACCCTAAACCCTAAACCGCAAAACCCTACACCCCTAAACCCAAAAAGCTCTCGGAGGCGGGATACATCCACGGTGACCTCAAGGGCGACAACGTTTTCTACAAGGGCGCGACCCAATACATCAACCCTAAACCCTAAACCCTAAACCCTAAACCCTAAACCCTAAACCCAAAACCCTAAACCCAAAACCCAAAACCCAAAACCCTAAACCAGCTTCTCAAGCCTTGGGGTTCCTTAGTTCTCCAAACCCGACCTTTAAGTTCTTTGGGTTTAGGGTTTAGGGTTTAGGGTTTAGGGTTTAGGGTTTTTGGGTTCTTATAATTGGTAGTAATCTGAAACAGTTTAGCCTTCCATTTCCCTGGCTTCTGAGGGAAGTAGGGTTCAGGGTTTTTAGGATTTCGGGGTTGAGGGTTTAGGCTTTTAGGGTCTAGGGTTCAGGGTTTTAGAGTTTACTATGGAAGCCGAAATAATTACTTCTCACTGCTATTCCTTGGGGTTCCTGAACCAAATACATGCTACAATGTAAGCTCCATCCTCATGTTGAGGCTCCTTATTAATTCCTCAGCCCCAAGCCCTAAACCCCAAAACCTAAAACCTGCACCCTAAGTCTTAAACCTTGTCTTCTCACAAGGCCGTGAAAGGCTAACAGACTTCGGCTTGGCACTACTGCAGACGTCACGGCACCACTGCTGGGGCTGTACCGGCCCGCCTATCCCGAGGTGTTTGCCGCACAGGCCTATGAGGCCTTTGACTTCCGAGCGTACCTGTACTCCTTAAGTGCTGACCTGGGTGCTGCTGACTAAGGAGTCAGACAGCAGTGCAGCCGTTCCCTGTGATGGGCCCAATTGGAGAACCGGTGCACCGCTCCACCAGGTCCAAGGGTTGAAGTATGGCAAGGCATTTTTGAAGACTTCAGTTATCCTGTTACAGACAGAAATCCCACGGCAGACAGCGCATCAGTGCTGAAACAACAAAAAGCAGACATGTCCGGGAGCCCAACAGATACTTGAGCAGGCTCGTCACCTTTCTGCATCTACGGGTCAGGATCTTGTAATCCCGTACCTGGTTTTGAGGCACTGCATTCCCTACGCATTTCGCAGCCGGGTCTAGCAGCCTAGCACAGTGTAGCCCAAGTTGAGTGGGCATCCCAGCATGCAAGCCCTGCGTCCATGTTGCCCCTGCTTTGGCCAGCCGGAGCAGATTATTTTAATTACTACATGACCGGGAACCGTGAAGGGCTGGATCACGCATAGCCGGAGCGTCACCGAACAGACCTGGCAGCCCAAAGAGGGATCAGCCAGCACAACCACGGAGACTCTGCGAACTCCGACCGTGCAACCAACGAATGAGCCCTGTTACCTCCCGCTTCGATGCCGGTGTCTCAGCAGCAATGGATCCACAGCGTGACGATGAGGTCCAGACCCCACCGGTGAGGGAGCCATTGGCTCAGGCTTCTGCTTCCCCTGTGCCGAATCCTACACCTGGCCCGGTTACACAACCGGAGCAAAAGCTGACAAGGCTACGTGGACCAGTAAGCAGTACTTCCACATTCACATTTTATGGTCCATCCAAAGCCTCGTGAAGCCCCTAGGCATGTCTGCCCTTTTTCTGAACTTTACAGCACCAAGCAGGCCACCTACTAGGACCGCTTCATACCTTCCCTGGGCAGACATGCAGGACATGGTTTAACACACAGCCAGAATGGCTCTCGCTTGTGCTGGCCTCTCTTTCTAAACACCGGCTTGTCACTCGGCACAGGTTGCACTTCACCACAGCCCTTGCAATCCTTTCTTCTTCCTCGCGCAACACCTGCATCGCCTCCTGCTCGCCAAGACGTTGGCCGTCTCGCAAATAGCGTGGCGCCCCGGTATGCCCCGGTATCCCTTTTCGCGCTCCGCTGCAAGCTGTCCTGTCCCGTCTCGTCGAGTTCAATCTCCGCGTGCTTCGACTTCTTGTTGGTGTTGACGTTTACACCAACCTTGAGGCATTTCCGGGGCGGTCCTGTAGGTTTGCCGGGGTTTGCTAGGAGGGCTTGCCTGTCCTGCCGCTGTGCTGCGTTCTGCGGAACATCCGTGGAGGAAGATGCCGTTTTCTTGCTTCAGGAGCAAGTAGCAGTTGGTGCCCTTCCCCACATTGGTTATCTTGTTCACGCTGTCTTGCCTTCTGCTCCCAGGATTGCTTCAATGGCGGTCTGCTCTGTATGCACTTGCCCGGAGCAGTTGTCCCTTGCTGCTGGTTGCATTCTCCTGGACGTAGTAGGGACACTCCACTCGGTCGTGGTGGTAGGAGGCGGTTCGCCCACTTGGCCAACCATATCGCCTCTGCTCCTTGGCCGTTTCCCACGGTGGGTCTGCTTCCGGAGGGGCGTTGAAAAGGCCTTCCATGCTGATTTGCATCATGGCGGACTTCTTTACCGCATTCCTCCTCGCTGATCACCATGAGCCGTCACCTTCAGTTCGTCGGTGTTCTGCTACGCCAGGAGTTCGGCCGCGTTGTAGAGAATGTCCCTTGGGAGTGCCCTTGGTGTGCCGCCCCCGCCGACGTTCACCTCTCTCGAGCCAGGGCGAACCTCCATGTTCAACCAGAGTGCATGTGCCGTCGCAGTTTCAAGGCTATCCTCATTTGCCCCGGGGGCTTCCGTCTCTGGCGCGGCCTCGCACTGCACCTCCACCATCTCAGTGGCCGTTGCGCTCGACGAACCCTGGTGCTCGAAGTCTTCTGGTTTTGGAGGCTTCGGCAGACGCAAAGAGCAGTCAAACAAAAACTTAAATATTGCACAGACAACCCGAAAAAGAATCCTGGTGCAACCCATGCAGCGCCTAAGACCCTGCAACAGACGTGGATCACAACGGCTGCCCTACCGGTGTCGTTCTAGCAGACTTCGGCTTGTCGCAGCAAGTTGGCTCCCCGCTACTTTGAAAGCACGCGTTGAAGTGTTGTTTTCAGAAATTAGGGCTTTAGAATGAGTTCACGATGGTCCCACCGTTCAGGTTTATGTTGGGGTTCTTGAGCTTTTGCAGCAAGGTATGCTTTCTTCTGCTATTGTATAGGATTTAAGATTTCTGTGGTTTGGGGCGTTCATCTTGCAGCTTGTGGTTTGTGGGTTTCAGGGCTTCAAGCTTAGGGCTTAGAGGTGAGCTAAGCAATAGCAAGAACATGATCAAGCTCATGCTGATCAGAACGACAGCAAGAATCACGTCATGATCGTGATAATCGGAACAAGACTACTAGCTGTTACTAGCAAGGTGCGATGATCCCATAACGATCCACAATTCAGCTCCAATCCTCCGCTTCATTTGCATTTAATACGGGCGCCTGAATAGCAAGAATAGGGTTTTGGGACGTGGTATATTGACGTATATTGATAACGAAACATAAGCATGTCAGGAAGTGCTTTTGCAAAATGCACCTGGTTGCAAAACAGGGTTTGATTGGATTTCAATCCTGGCAGTCTATACCGTTCGGTTTTCGACACAAGAGACAAGAAAGACCTTGTGGCAGCCCCAAACCCGAACCTTTAGGCCCTAAGCTCTAAACCCTAAAACATGTCACTGAATCACTAGACCAGGAGGGCTGTTCAAACGTCAGAAAGTGTACGGTTTAGGGTTGGGGGTGTAGGGTTTAGGGATTTAAGGTTTAGGTGCGCTCCTTTTTCATTAGGAGGAATATGAGAAACCTCCTGTACCTATTGTTACAGCAGTAGCCGCAAGCTCCTACAACGCTTCAATACCGAATCCGAAGATCGCCTTCTATGGTTTTACTGAGGATGTGGAGGCAACTCTAGTTCCATTCTTTCGCGCTTGTGTTGCTTACAGAGGAGAGAGTGGTTCATGAGGGATGTGCAATGTTGGCGAACAGTCCTACGCAGCACTTACTGCTTAAAACAGCTACACACGTAAGCTTCATTGGTGCTAAAACCCCTTTCTAGCCACCACGTAGTGACAGTACAACATACCCTAAACCAACTGTTTCAATTCTTCAGGCTTTTGTATCACCCTGCAGCACTCCGTTGGCTTGGTGCTTCAGGTTTAGTTGTTAAAGGGCCCTGGTGCGAGTCCGACAGTCTAGGCTGGTCCAAATCTCCAAACGCAGACGCGTGCGTTCAAGAAAGACTCACCCTAAACCCTAGCAGACTGCCAGAAGAGGCTTCATGGCTCGTTGGGTGGAGAGTTTCGGGTGAAATCCTGGAGCTGAAGAGCGGATTATGTTCGTTATTCCGGGCTTAGGGCAGAGTCATTTCCACCGAGGATGCAAAAGTACAGCGGGCGCTACTACGAGGGATCCGGCCACCTGCCCGGCAGCGTTTTCGAAGGGATCCAGGACACCCTAAGAATCGGACAAGGTCACTTGGCTGAATTTTGGTAATCTTATATGCTCTATATACCCTGAAAACTCTGTGCACCCTGTATACCCTAAGCCTGCACTAAGCGCCAAACCCTGGTTGACTTTTCGGGGACCGTAGTTTTTCGGGTTTCTAGATGATTCGCAATACGGAGGCCCAAAGTTTCGGGTTTAGCTCTCGGGTTTTAGCGCGTTCAGAAGTCAGCAAGGCAAGCACTATGCCACTGCGAGCCCGGACATTGACAAGTGCGGACCTCAGACGCCATGTGCGAACATTGCAGTGTCTGAAGAGTTTAACAAAGATGCTTTCAAATATTATTCCTCAAGGGTTCCTGATCATAGTTATGCTGCATCCACCGAAACCCTCGTCCAATTATTAAGGCGCCTCTATGAGCTATATGTATGTATATATATATATAAATGTAATAGCTTAAATGTTTAGTGCATACATTATACAGTATCTATATCCGATGATTTTGCTATAGTAGATATTCTATACAGTATACCACTTAATTATCTATTATCTGGCAGTTGTCATCTGGTATTTTTAAGTTATCACACAATACATATCACACATGACATATCATCTAGCACGTGCTATATTTTTATGCTAGGTTGTATTGCTATGTTTCCTGTACACCACATGGGAATTCACACATACCATATGGGTAGTCCTCTATATTAGGGTCTCTTGTTAGGTCCCCAGTGTAGTACGGCACTCTTATAAAGAAAGGACCCTAAAAGGCACCCTAATTTAGAGAACTGCCCATACACTTACATCAGATATGGGCCCCAATAACATTTAGAAATATATACTGTATGTTCTGCAGTGTATAGTCTCGATTCTACCTATCTGTGGCATTATATGTGTTTGTTTGGTTATGTAGCAAATGTCATACATCATGTAGAGTGACATGGTATTATGTAGCGTGTGTTATACGGCAATTGTTTGATATGATATGGGATATATGGTATATGATGTGTTTTGTATGTCGTGCTCTTTCTATCAATTATGCACTATGGTTTGTGTCACATGTTTGCAATTTTTATAATGCATATGTGTATATATAGACATATAATGTGCTGTATATTATATGTACTATCTCAAACTATGCTGATGCTGCGCACCTTTTTCCATATACTATGTAAGATTTTGTTTGTTACAACAATGTACGATGTTTTCCCTATTTCTCATTTTCTGTCATCCATGATCTCGGACCTTGTCCCTGCCTGTTATCCATATTGTATATGTATATGTGTATGTATAATACAGTGTATGTATACGACTATGTTTATGGGTATGTGTATGTGTATATGAGTATATGGGTATATGTGTATGTGCATCTGCGCGTGTACGTGTATGTGTAGGTATGTTATTAATACAACAGATATAAATATTAAATAAGTATAAATATAAATAAATAAATAAATAAATATAAATATAAATATATATATATATATATACATATACTGTATATGTATACTACAGTACATACTGCATATCAAGTAGTGCAAACCCAAGAGCTCTAAAGTTTTTCCGGCCGGTGAAGCACTCCTCTCACCCTAGAAGCCCGAATCAGGGCGTCAGCCGCAAACCCGGAGTGTAGGTTCGAGGGTTTAGGGTTTAGGGTTCAGGGTTTAGGGTTTAGGGTTAGACTGAGGGTTAGGATGTGGCCTCATGCGCCTTTTGAAATGGGCAGGTGCTGGTCGAGTGCTTAGGAGACACCTTAAGAGCACCCGTCCTCCACCCTGGCATGCGAGTCAGCAAACTCCACGATTGTCTATGGGTCTCTTAAGAAGTTCAGTGCACCTTAAGCTCTAAAGCACTAGAACCTAAGCCGTACATCTAAAAATTCTGGACCCTCATACCTGTACCCTAAACCCCACATCCCCAGTCCTGAACACTGCGCCAATTTCTTTCCGAGACAGGTGCTCCTTGTCGTACCTGGCCTACTCCTACTTCCAGATCACGGCCTTCCCAGCGAGCATGTTGAAATTCTGTCACGGGTATAGGCTCAGTTCTCCATTAGATAGAGCTTTTAAGATTGGATTTCATGGTTCTTTGTGGTTTGTGAGTTTTGGCTCTTAGTCTTTATGATGGGGTGTATATTATGGGCAGTATAATTACGAGCGTCATGGTCATGATTATCATCATCGTCCCCATCTCCGTCATCATCATCCTCATCATCATCATCCTCCTCCTCCTCCTCCTCCTCCCCCTCCTCCTCCTCCCCCTCCTCCTCCTCATCATCATCATCATCGCCATTGTCATCCTCCTTTTCATCCTCATCATCATCATCATCATCATCATCATCAGCATCATCCTCATCCTCATCATCCTCCTCCTCCTCCTCATCATCATCATCATCTTCATCACCATCATCATCATCATCACCATCATCATCATCATCACCATCACCATCACCATCATCTTCGTCATCATCACTACTATCACTACCCCGCCGCCGCCGCTGCCACCACCACCACCACCACCACCACCACCACCACCACCACCACCACCACGACCACCACCGCCACCACCACCACCACCACCACCACCACCACCACCGCCGCCACCCCGCATCATGAGCATCAGCTGGGGTTGGGTGCCGGGGGAGGTGTTTTTCCTGTTTCCCAGCAACAACAG